GAGAACCCATTCGAAGACGACGACGACAAGACACTCGTGGGTGACAGCACACCCAGCACACCTATGAGCATGTCATATCCTCCATCACTCGCATGTTCACCCATTGCATCATCCCCAATAGAACTTGCTACAACGACCGACAATACTCGATTCGGTCCTGCCACTCCGTACCCAATCAAGCCAGCCCTCAAGAAACCAGTAGAGCATTCGCCCATCGACGATCTCCTCGCATATTATGCTTGCTCGGTGGTACTCAACAATTCGAGATTCAACATATCTCGTCGACACACTTTACCACGTGACATCACACCAGTTACACAAAAGAAGTCGCTGCGATTCAATCTGGACCAAGTTCAAGTACACTACACTCCAACACATTATAGCGTACAGTCAGCACGCAACAGTGGGCGATCGGTTTTCCCCACTCGATTAACTAGCAACAGTCAGATCACTACACTCGGAAAAGAAAAACCAATCATAGGCAAATGCGATGATTTCAATCAGATATTCCAATGGGCCAAGTCGCAAGTAGAGACTACTGGTCATTTCACTTTATTTGATAACGAAAAACGTATTGTCCGGAGTAAATCATCTTTGCAATCAACCAAGAAAACAAGGACTGTACCTGTGAAAAATGCCAAAGTCCAAGTTAAGACACCGTCTGCCAAAGCCGAACGATCACCTGTCAAGACCGAACGATCGCGATCAACTGTCAAGGCCGAGCGATCATCAGTGTCAGAGTCTTTTCTTAATAATGTGGTTTCTGATGATGTGGTTTCAAAGGCCACCAATCTCGCTGCTAATGTGGCTGATGTCATGAGCTGGGCAAGCTCGATGATATGGGATACGACTATCTACTAGGCCTCATTTAAAAGCAGTTATTTTTGCTGTCAATTGTGTGTGGTGTACACACACACAAAATGGAGCAATGAACAATATTTTTCAAATTTATCAAGGGATTTTGTTTGTATGTTTGTTTTGTTTTGTTTTTTCCTCCTATTTTCGTCCTTCATCAGTTTGATACCGATGAAATGATGAAATTTTCTTTTGGTATATAACTTTTAATTGTGAAGAACTTTCAAACTGCTACACCACTGGGAAATTTTTTTTAAGTCTTGTTGTATTTCTTTGTATTATTAGTCTTTTATAATTCTTTCTTTATCGTTGTGAGATTTTACTAATATCGTTCGCATGTTTCTTTCTGAAACACAATTCGAATGGCGAATTTTAATTCAACAATTCATTCGATTTACACTAATGACACGCGTACTACCAAAACTTTTCTTATCGACAACCACCACACACACGTTTACGCATCATCACTTTGTAATTCTTTCTCTTTTTTTTGTTTCAGTTTTTTGTTTTTTTGATTTTGATTTTTTTTTGTTGGCGCCTTTTGATTTTATTTCTTTTTCTTTGCATTTGTACTTTTGTACTTGATTCATAGTTTGTCATCGCCATGTTGTTATGTTTAGTACATACAA